GGAAAGAGTATTTAGTAATATTGATGATAGCTCCACTGACAACTCCACCAGAGGACAAAAGAACAGTTGAACGGTTTTAGACATGTCAATATTAATATTTTACCATGTCAATTAGTTACCTTTATTTATTTATTTATTTTTTATAAGCAATGTCAATTAGTTACCTAATAAATGTGATTCTTTTTTCTTATGTGGAGTAAATTTTGCCATGTCAATTATTCAATTAACAATATTATGTAAGGATGACAATTAGTAGAGTTTGGGTAGGTAGTATTATACTATGCATTTAAAATAAAATATATATCTACACTCGCCTTTATACATGCGAAATAGCAATTTTAATATTTATGTACATGTTGGGTATTTATAAACCCATATTTGTACTTGTGACTAACATTTTATTATTCATAAAGTCACTAAATTAATGGAAAAAAATCAATTAAAAGTTTACTACAAATAAATTGAAAATTCATTCATAATATCTAAACATAACAAAATAAAAATAAAAATCTGAACATAACTTTAAAAACGTAATATTATATTTTTATTAATAAAGTTATAATTATAACAATAAAGATCAAAGTCTGTATTTATTTCAATTATTGCATTAATTAATTAACTTATATATAATTATAAGTTAAAACTTTAAAACCACAAATAAATATATGAAAATTATCTTGCCATTAGAATCAGATTCTCCATAGTTGTAGAAATACTTATCGCTCAAGTCTAAATATTGTTTTGTCTAACAATATTTATCATCAAAACTAAATCATGATCACAAAAGTACTAAATATTAGACTATTCTATTCTAGTGCAATTGCATAAATAAAATAGAGTAATTTAATATTTTGGGTTAAGATTTTATATTATAATATAAGGTATTTTAATTAAATAATTATATATAAATAAATAGACTAAGGGATCAAATTAAATCAATTAAATAAAAAATGAACCATTACATATTTTTAGAAATAGTAAATAATATAATGACAATAATAATGATCGAACCTAAATATTCATGTATTTATCCTAGTATGCATGGTCCATCACTAAATTAATCTTGATATCTCTCATTTTAATACATATTAAGTAATTATATGCATTTTGATAGTGTATAAGGCTAAAATCCTATTATAATTAATATAAATCATATTATAAAATCCCGAAACAAAAGATTATAACAATTTTTAAAAAGTATATTAAAATTAAAATTATCAAACAAAAAATATCAATGGAACATATTATCCGACAAGAGCCCATGCATCAAAAACAAAAATTATCAAACAAGAGTATACTATACAAGATGTACTCAACAAATACCAAAGGAAATACAATGAATCTTAAAAACATTTACATTATTCATGTATTAATTATCTATTGCGTAACGTGTCGCCCGAATGGAACCATTCACCACTAGGTTTCAGCCTTTCAGATAATTTTGCCTGCCCAAAATTGTTCCAAAATTTTCCAAAACACTCTCCAAGTCAGTGCTTATCTAACTTGTTGACATGTTATATATTTGTGTTGTGATAGACATTTTCAAAGGTTGCTTTGTTTCTAGTTACCCACAAATTAAAACCACGTCTCATACTTTTGCACTTCATTTCCATTAATTGATCAGTCCCGAGAGTTGCAGAAACTATGATTGAATATCTTATGGTTCGACCATACGTAAAATGATATATGGAGGGCCACTAAGATAAATTCTTAGAAAATAAGAAAGACTCTAACTTTAATAGTCAACCTTCTCAATCTATTTTTTTTTTTAAATTCATCTCTTTTCTTTCTCTAAAAATACCACTAAACACTTGCATCAA